TGTCGCCCTTAGCGTACAGATGTCGCCCCATGTGAATCCTTTACTCCGGTGCGACTTTTAAGAGGGTGTGTACATACATTTTTGCTGCTGGTCGGATCTGCTTGATCGGATCGGGTCTCAGAACCTGAGTGACCGTCTGTGTTGCTTGGGGAAAAATGATTTGACCTCATGTGCAAATAAGAAACCCCCCATAAAACAATTTAAATTAAAAAGAGTCTGCCTCGGTTTGAGGTATACTTCCAGTCAAACTTCGCCCTGAACTGAATTGTTGCAATACTATCTAGTGCCTTTGCTTTATGATGTCAAATAATGAAGGCAAAACGGTAACCATGTGCTTATGTGACGACATTTTCTTCTGAACTGGAATACCAGTTAATGTCATGCGCTTGAAGAGTCAAGCCATTGAATAATTGTTCAGTTCGAACCTATTCCCTCATCTGCGCCCCCCCCCCCCAAAAAAAAAAATCTCCTTTAAAAATTAATAAACAAACAAAAACATCCATGTCTGCAAAGTCCAGTTATTCTTAATTGTTTCGAACTTCACAAAACAGACGTCAACCACGTGCGACTCGACCCGTGTGTAACGATTTGGCTGATTCTTGCCACCAGCGAGTCTTGTCCAACAAAGTCTGGAAGTGACGTCAGTCCAGACCCAAAATCGGAACGACCGTCACCAGTCGACTTGTACTTTCGTACTCTTGTTCATTGTCCTTGATCTTTCTGGTGCTCAGTCGGAGGCGAGCTTATTAATAATTATACATTTTAATAGAATGTAGCTGGCCTCGGGGCGGTGCTACTGACTGAAGTATCTTTAGGACATGTTCCACTGCACAGTAAAATTATAAATGGGTTGATTTATCTATGTCATGCTCATAACTGTGCCTGAACTGCAACAGAACTGCTACTTCTTTTGTATGTTTGTCACACTCTTGTGACCCGCTATTCCCGGGGTGCCTTGATAGTCGAAGGCAGACTTTGTGCTGTTGAAGCTGGAGAAGTGAGCAGAGTAAGCCGGTTTCCTGTAAGGACTTCTCTTTTGACATCCACCCCTTGGCGCTCATATGGTCGCTTTTAAGCACAAGGGGGCTATCTCCAAAAATGCTGTTTTTGAGAAAACCAAAGGTCGTAAAGTTTTAGGACTCTTGTTCAGTTTCTTTAAAAGACAAAAGAGTTTTCTATATGACCAAACAATTATACGCGCCAATGAAACCAAAACTTTTATAGGTTGGGCAATACCCACTTGACTTTTGGTGTTGGTCAAGATTTCTGGAAACCCCCGAAATCTGGGCTAGCCCGCTTGTGCTTAGAACGACCATATGAGGATAAGTTGTGCCACGAATTATACGTTGTAATAGAATGTAGTGCAACAACTAATAGCCCTGACTTGCCCTGTCGGACAAGTGAGTGTGCACTCTGCCTTGGTCTCCAGCGTGGCCGGGCCCGTTGTATGGTTCACAGAGCGCCGGCGGTTTGATGCTTGTTTGTGGCCTGGTGTGGTTTGCTTCTTCTTTCCTATCAAACATCTATCGTCTTTATCTCCCCTCCTTCTTTTTTATGTTTGTTACTTTCTTGTAACACCTCCAATCTTCTGGCGTTCATATAACCTTATTGTGTTGCAAGTGCCGTAAAACTTATTAAAACTCAAGAGTAAGCCTGATTCCCTGTACTGTAAGGACTTCTCTGTTGACGTCAATCGCTTGGCGCTCATATGACCTAATGCAGTTGTGAGCCCCGTAAAGAAAAAAAAAATCTACTAAAACTAAGTCCAGTGCAGTCGAACTAAAAGCCCTGACTTGCCCAATCGTACAAGTGTGCACTCCGCTCTGGTCTCCGGAGTGGCCCGACCGTTGTATGGCCCGTGTGAACAAACAGAGCGCCGGTGGTTTGATGCTTGTTTGTGGCCGGGCCCGGCCCCGGTCCGTGCAAACAAAACGTTATCTCTTTCTGGTCCGGGCAACCGAGCCTCCCGCCCGTCTCATCGCCATGGAGCTGGCTGCGAGCTCGGGATTTGATGTGGCCGAGGTGAACGTAAATCTCTTCCTTCTACTCTTCTCTTTTCTCTTCTCTTTTCTCTTCTGTCGTTTCTCGTCTTCTCTTCTCTATCCTGGTTGACCCTGGACACTTGGATCAGTGTGTTTGTGTGTGTGTGTGTGTGTGTGTGTGTGTGTGTGTGTGTGTGTGTGTGTTTCTCCCCCCCCTCCTCTC